TATTGACAATAACTCAACTGCAAGTATGGCTGCCATAAACTACGTTAGGTAATACCTCCACTTGTGAAGTTTGAAGTTTTTACTCGTCTTTAAAAAGGCGGTTGCTAACTAGAGGCTAAATGTGACTACAGTGGTTGTCGGGGTCATTAAAGGTCATCACGCCGGACACAGAGGGCGGGAACTCTCTCACTAGTCGGAGATGTCTCCTGTAGGTTTAATCTTTAGGTTCAGGTGAATATTATGTTAGTAAACTATTTATTAAGCTACGTGGATTAGTTTATCGGAGATCGTCTGAAGCATAACGCTAGTGACGTCACAATCATCCCACCGTGGTGTCGTTAGCTTTAGCATGACGTTAGCTTTTTACTTCTGTCGGCCGCATTAACTCTTCAAACATCATAAAAATGGCGTTCATCTGTGAAGATTATCCTGCTGAACAAAACGCCTACGCTTCAGAAACGTGTTTAACACAGAGATTATTTTCTGTAATGATCCAAAATCCAATGAAAACATCCCAGAGGAGGATTCTCTTTAGACCCCATGACGATGGTTTGTCCTCTATTGCACGACAGCTACCACTAAAACCACTTTGTCTATTGTTACTGTTATATCGACGCCTACCAGAAGATTGGTCACGTCTGTGAGAACGAACTGAGCACCAGTTTATTCTCTGAAGTATTCCCACTCTTCTAGATTCTTGTGTTTGGTCGTAACCGAGTAAAAAAAATCTGCAGAGTTTGTGAAGAACACGCTGCACTTGAATGCACCGTACAGTCCAGTTTCCAGCTAATCAGTGTGTTTGTCCCCGGGCGGGGAGCGTAGGCAGCAGGTAACCTGATGGAGCCCCGTGCTGCTCACACCCCTGCAGGTAAACACATGAGTCATAGGAGCGCGTACAGCCAGATAAGAGACTCAACCCGTGAACTGTTTACACAGAGAGAGGAGCAGAGGGTTCTTCAGGACCAAGGTGTCTTAACCACGCTGGTTACAAAACACAAACTGTTTTAGATGTTTCATCTGCACATGTTGGAGTTTAGCAGTTCATTTTATGAGGATACAACTAAGACTGTGTCTACAGATCATGAATGTTTTTGTCTAACAGAGGTCCCCTTTAAACTCTGCATGGTAAGCATTGAGGCTCATTTTCATGTAGGGGGGAGGGTGGTCGATTTGCTCCAAATGTTTGCACAGTGGTTGCTTTAAATTAAGCAGCAACCTCCGGTGTTGAAACATGAAGCCGATGCTGAAGTGTAAAATCCTGCAGTTCCTGGAGTGTCCACTAGAGGCTGGCTGCAGAAGCACAGGAAGTCACATACACACCCATTCTAAAAAGCCTGTTTTTACAGCAGAGATGAACATGTTTACAGCCTGGTTCAAAAAACCAAATAGGTGTGATTAGCTCATGTCTGGATGGACACACACTGTACGGGGGGTGAATGTTTTGATGACTCATCAGTTTTGATTTGATGAAGGATAAGAGTTATTCACAATAAGGCGTGTAGCTGACCTGATTGACAGGTGGGCGCGGTGTAACGGTTTGTCAGGAGGTTTAAAACCTTCTCTCTCTCTCTCTCTCTCTCTCTCTCTCCCAGATTTCCTACTCGATCCACTCTCCTTTCTAAATAACAAGCCCAGTGATAAATCTTTAAACAGATTCTGGTATCATGACAGCTCTAGATTTCATAGATCGCTTTGCAGTGCAGGTTAGGTAGCATTTAGTGTGCCATTCCTGAATCAGCTGATATCTTTTTGTCCCATCTTCACAGGTTAAGTCAGAAAACCCTCGCGTCCTTGTACACGATCTGTCATGAATGCACTGAATTGTACGATGTAGCAGTGAAACTTCGACTGCCATGCTCAGAAGTTGTTGAGTTCTGCTTCCTGTGGAGGATTCTGGGCGTCTGATGTCCGGCGACAGACTGAAACTCTCCCCCCTGCTCTCCAGAGAGCGGGGGGTTTTTGTGGGGGGGGTGCTGTCGATAATGCCAGAGGGGAGGGGGAGGGGGACGGGTTTAAATGACATTGAGGAAAGGTCGCGATGCAGCTAGGCCTCCCTGGTAATTCAGGCCCCGCCCACAGGAAGTAATCAATTGTTTACCAGCGCTGACCTCCATGTGAGTGACCGGGACATCAGCTGTAGTAACTTGTGGTCATGAAAAGATTTGTCGGTGGTCTGGATCGTTATGGTCAGACTATGGTAGCGTTATGGAAATCGTTATGGTAGCACTAACCTGCTGGCTGCACTGGGAGAGCTGGCCGTCACTCCAGGAGGTCAAATCTTCATCAGACGTCGGCCCAGATGAAGCTACAGCCGCTCAGCACCTTTTCAAATGTGGAAAATCAAATCAGCGACTCCCTTTTTTCTCTGAGTTATTCATCTTTTGGGGGTTTTTGTTGTGCCTTTATGGGAGCAACAGGACAGTGGATAGAGTCAGAAATGCAGGAAAGGAGCCACAGGTTGGATTTGAACCTGGGACTGCCGCTTCAGCGACTTCAGCCTCTGTACATGGGGCGTGCAAACAAACCACGAGGCAGTCTGCGCCCTGATAGGAAGCTTTTTGCAAAAATTGAATGAATCATCATTTGTAATTTCTTTTAGAGATTTGTGCACTGACAGAGTTTCCTGTTGTCTCCACGTTCACCTGGTGGGAAAGTTTCAAACTTCACTGTCACAGTCACGCTGGCCTGAGTCTGACCTGCAACGTGACTCCCCTGATGGACGATTGATTTCTCTTCGGATCAACTTCAGCGCCGCTCACGTTTCACACATCGAGCAACCAAAAAAAAAAAAACTCCACAACATAAAAACATCCCCCCAGCTGGAGGTCAGCGGGGTCGTCTCTGCTGCTGCTGTCTTCTCGGTGGGCTCGGTGAGAGAGCAGTGTGTGTGTGTCGGGGGGGGAGCGAGGGAGGGAATCATTGAGAAGTTAGGTGGAGAGAGACAGAGAGAGAGAGAGAGGGACAAACACCATCTGTGCTGCTGATTCAGACCTCCGAGAAACCACATTTTCTACGCTGATGATGGTGATGTCATGGGCCCAGTGTGTGTGTGTGTGTGTGTGTGTGTGTGTGTGTGTGTGTGTGTGATTGACAACATGTGTGTTCCTGTGGGAGCAGTATGTGTAGTTATGTACGGTGTGTTTATCTGAGTGTTTGTGTCTTTCATGATGATGGAGTAAACAGACCACCAGAGGCTATTATCTGCATCTGTGGTCAGCTCCCATAGATCTGTGTGTGTGTGTGTGTGTGTGTGTGTGTGTGTGTGTGTGTGTGTGTGTGTGTGTGTGTGTGTGTGTGTGTGTGTGTGTGTGTGTGTGTGTGTTGTCAAAGTGCTCTCAGCAGCCGTTTCATTACCGTTTCCTCTGAGGACGGGGCTGTTTGAGGTCAGGGAAGTCGGACCACGTGTCGCTCATTTCCACCGCTGCAACCAAACAAACATTTCAGAGAATCATTTTGCAGGTGTTTTATTACATCACTGTGGGCCAGCTGTTCCAAAACCTGTTTCTGCAGGGCCCCCCTTTGGTTTCGATAAGTATTATCAAGTCAGTCCCCATAGAGCTCTATGTAAAAATGTCCAACTTTACAGCTGCAGTTCCTCCAGTGTCCACTAGAGTCTGTCTCCTGCAGTGAGACATCTGACTATGTATGTTTACAAATGTTAGAGTGGAATGACAATCAAAAATAACGGTCTTAGTTCCCAGAGTGACTCCAAAACCATTCCAACAAATACACTGCTACCAGTGTTACCAGCACACACACATGGTCCTCCACCAAAGTACCAGAAAATAGTCCCTCCTGTGTGTGTGTGTGTGTGTGTGTGTGTGTGTGTGTGTCACTGCACGCTGCCGGCAAATGCAGTGATGACTCATGCAAGATGCCCACAAACACACACACACACACACACACACACACACACACACACACACACACACACACACACACACACACACACACACACACACACGCACACACACACACACACACACTGAAGTGCCATCTGTTAGACAGGCAGGCTGAATCACACGGTGGAGGGATGCAGTGTGTGTGTGTCTGTGTGTGTGTGTGTGTGTCTGTGTGTGTGTGTGTGTGTGTGTGTGTGTGTGTGTGTGTGTGTGTGTGTGTGTGTCTGTGTGTGTGTGTGTGTGTGTGTGTGTGTGTGTGTGTGTGTGTGTGTGTGTGTGTGTGTGTGTGTGTGTTTCACTCCGCCTCGTTAAGACGTGTCCATGTGTGAATGCTGAAACAGGAAGTACGAGAGATGTCGGAGAACAAAATGTAAGATGGAGACATAAGCCGAGAGCATTTCAATATTTTAATTTCTCAATCCGAACCTTCAGTGGCGTTTTTGTTTTGTTTTTTATTTGCCTCCACGCTGCCGTGTTTCCTGCTCTGTTTGTTGAATCCTGAATGTTGACATTAAGGAAACATGCTATGTTGAAGTCAACAGTGACAACAATGCAGCAGCCAGTATGTCCAATGTCTCAATATATGAGAGCAGTTATCAGGTCAACAGGTGTTGCAGCGATGGAAGCGGTCAAGAGAAGTGGTTCAGATAGAAGTGATTGTACCCGACCTAAAAAGCCTCTGCATGTTTCTAATAAGCTCCACGAGCAGAAACGTGCTCAAACTAGGATCAATATTGGAGATGCTTTTGAAAAATGGAGAGAGGTTAGAACACAGAAAGGTTTACAGACCCATGCAGAGCTGGATAAACACTGAAGCTTCAGAGTCCACCACATGGTGACCTGAGTGAGGGGGGGGGGAGACAGCTCTATATGATGTTTAGAATTTAGACTGCAGTACCCATTTTAAACACTAGGGGTCAGAGTTACATACTGCTCCTTTAATTTGAGTATTGTTGTACTTAAACTGTTTCCTGTGTTTGTATGAATCTACACTTTGTTTCAGATTAGCTGCTTTGCTGCTCTTTAAAGTTTTCATTGTCTTGGTAGTTTCTAAACTGTCTGATGTGATTTCTGTCTTTTTTTTCTGTCGTGTTGCAGTGACAGCTACATTGTGCGTGTCAAAGCGGTGGTGATGACCAGAGACGATTCGAGCGGCGGCTGGTTGGCTCAGGACGGCTGTCTGAGCAGAGTGGGCGTGTGCAGGCTGCTGTCGGCCGAACTGCTGGGACGAAGCAGCTTCCTCATCCACGGAGAACGCCTCAAAGACAGACAGGTGGGTCCAGCAGCACGTCACAGGAAGTACAAGGAAACCGTTTCCTGTTTCTTTAAATTGTTGTAGCTTAGTTTTTGTTGCATCATTCCTTTCTTTATCTGTCACTCAGCTGTTGTTAAGTTTGACTGACGAGGTTTCTCTTTCAGGTCATTCTGGAGTGTTTCTTAAAGAAGGATCTGGTCTACACGAAGGCCACGCCCACGTTCCACCACTGGAAGGTCGACAATAAAAAGTGCGGTCTGACTTTTCAGAGTCCGTCCGATGCGCGAGCCTTCGACCGTGGGGTGAGACGGGCCCTGGAGGATCTGACAGAAGGTACCGAGTTAGAACGTTTGGAGCAAATTTTAATCATTTTAACGGAACCAACAAATTATCGCTCCGACGTCGGAAGGGAAAAACTGAACTCACTTTGTTACTTTGCAGCACGTCACTGATTTTCTGAGAATGTGATTTTGTTACTTTGTGGCCTCGCTGTACAGAAACCCACTCTGTAAAACTAAACTACGTACAAAGTTTTTTCCTAAAATGTCTCTTCGTAAAACCTCACGTCGTCAAAACATTACTTGGGTGAACGTTTAACTTCGTTAAATCGTACTTTGTTAAGTGACTTTTTAAAATTGTTAATTGTTACTTTGTTGTATGTGAATGTTAAATTTAATTTCTTAAATGTTAATTTCTTAAATCGTAGTTTGTTAAACTTTTACTTTGTAAGATGTTACTCTGTTAAACGCCATTAGACATAATGTTATTTAAGGTTTTGATGTTATATCTTCACGTTATATCTTACATCGTTAAAGGTTGCGTCATAAAACGTAACTCCGTTAAATCGTACTTTGGTTAACAGAACTTTGTTAAACTGTTACTTTGTAAAATATTTATCTTTACTTTGTTTTTGGTGAACGTTGCTTCATTAAACTTAACGCTGCTAGATATAACGCCATTTAATGTTTCGTTGCTAAATCTTACATCGTTAAACGTAACTCTGTTACATCGTACATTGTTTATTGTTACTTTGTAAGCTACTTATCGTTAAACGTTACTTTGTTGTTGGTGAACGTAACTTCCTTAAATCGAACTTCATTTAACTTACTTAGTGAAATGTAATCTGTTGAACATAACGCAGTCAAATGTTACATCATTACACGTTACGTCATTTAACGTTACTTTGTGAAATCGTACTTTATTCAACGGAAGCTTTTACTTTCTTAAATTGTACTTTTTTAAATCGTGTCTAACTTTACCAACTTAGCTTCGTACGTGTCTTCGTAAATCGTTACTCTTTGAAACATGACTTCGTAAAGTTGCTTCCTTGTTTCGTTACTTACGTTTTATTCGTACAAACTACGATGAAGCATTTCGCCGCGTCGCTCGTTCCTTGCAGAGCGTCAGACTCTGTGATCTGAGTGTTTGTTCTAACATCTGGTACGTTCTGCAGGGTCGACCACATCCTCATCCACGCTGCAGAACGAGGCGGAGCTTGGCGATGACGACGTCTTCACGGTGAGAAACTGATGGAAATATCCACGGTCTGTCTCTCTGTGCTCATTCATAGGGGGGATATCATAAACTCTCTGAATGAGGGGAGGGTCAACACAGACTTCATTCATCAGAATCATGATTCCTCTGTTTGTAAGTCTGTTAAAGCTGCTTTCACACCTGCTGAGCGTCATGTGTGAACACAAACATCTGAATGTTTCTCTCTTCACCCGGAGTTTCTCCTCCAGCCTTCTCGTGTTTATTCTGCAGAAAGTCAGAGTGATCTGATGTGAGAACGCAGCAGGATATAATCAGGAGAATTCACCTGGAGCCAGTGGGAGGGGCCAGTGGGAGGAGGTGGTGACCTTTATTCCCTGTGATCGCTGCACGACCATAGACTGTCTGCACGCCACCTCTACCATCTCTGTACTCTAATCAACCTGCTGCTGCATGTTTCCTGTTCTCCAGGATGTTCTTCTCCACTCTTTGAGAAGCGTTGATAGAAAGACAGATATTCTCATTAGCTGTCCTCCTGAAATGATCTAGATATTTTCAGGAGTGTAGATGTGATAATGGCTTTAGTGAACGTACACGTCTGTGTTCCCATTTGAAGTTTCCACGATGGATGACGAGGATTTCTGTTTAGAGCGGAAGGAGCGGGGAGGCGGCGTTTTGTTATTTTGGCTTCAGACAGGACCTCTTTTTATTTGCAGTGTTGACTCGCTGTGTCAGGAACAGTCAGTGTGTGTGTGTGTGTGTGTGTGTGTGTGCGCGGCGTTGTGCGCGGCGCTGACAGAACGGGTCACTCACAGTCTGTGCAGAAATTTCGGGTTAAACATTCTGTTGAAGTGTCCAAACAAGCGTCCAGTCCTATGTTTACTGAGGGAATCATTTCAGAATTTTCAACGATTGTGACTGTTTTTGTAAACAGTAGAGTCGCCCCCTGCTGGTCATAAGAGAGTATGCAGGTTTGAGGCACTTTTAGCTAAATCATCCTCTGAATAACGTCCGTTTATATCTCGGACTTAGACATGGCAGAAGATGGAAATCAGTCCCAGATCTTTGTGCTGGAGCATCGGAGTCAGGTTGGGGTTAGCGTAGCTTAGCATCAAGATTGGACTCTGATTTCAAAACCGACCATCAAAGTCTCTTTATCGTCTCCACCTCCCCCCTCAGTCCGATGAGGTGGACCCGGTCCTGCTCTAGTCTTTACGTCTTTTCAGCGTCTTCAAAGTAAAGAGGGTGTACGGTTCCCTCAGGATGTCCGGTTCTGTAGAGGAGAGTCCGAGCTGTCAGTGATCTGTCACTGAGCTGCCTGTTTACATAGCTGGCCTCGTTTAGGGTTTAAATCCGGGGGCGGATCGAGGGGAGGAAGTCTGACTCCTTACAGAGGGGGAAGAGGACGAGTCTACAGCGTCTCGGAGGACGATGAGGATGTAGCTCAACAACAAATGTCTCCTGATGTGATGCACTGTTTTCATGTAAATATCAGATTTATAATCTGTCTCTCTGTGTCTGTATTAACTCGACAGAGACTAAGCTTTAGCAGAATAATAAAACCTGTCAAAGGTAGAATCTCAACACTACAAACTGAACCTAAAAAAAGTTCCTTCTTCTTGTTGGATGCGTACAGAAAAGTATCCTGGACTGAGTGAAAAGCAGCGTCTTGGTTTGGCTGTGGCGTTCTGCCGGTTCCTCTGTTCTGTGGTGTTCACTGAAGTCTTCTTGTGTGATCACAGGGAACCACATGAAAGCTGCAGCTTGTGTCGACCACGAGGATGACGCAACACTACAGGCTGGGCTGAGCGTTCTCAGGGCCACGGGCCGGGCTGGGACTCATTTAGCACAGACCCAATAAAAAAAAAAAACACAACAAGTTAAGAAATGTTTCCCGCCACACAGCTCGGGCTCTGGAGGTCTTTAAGAAGAATTCTTGTCTAATTGTGCAAAGAAGTCTGGTGGAGCTCGGCTGGTTTCAAAGACTTCATACGCGAGCTGACAGAAGCAGGGACGAGTTGTAATACGAGATTTTCTTAATGTTTGTTTTAAACTCTACAGGTACAGGCAGACACAGGTTGGACTTTCACACACAGTATGTAAATCCCACCACCAGGGGGCTCTCAAACAAAACAATCAAAAAAAATATGACGTTGAGGCTGGCGGGGAATCATGGGAGTGATTCTCTCTACGACATACATTTTATATCTTTAAGGAACTAATGATTTTAAAAAGGGCCAGTGGCATCACATGACGCTGCAATACCAAGTTTGGCCACCATTTCAAATTGGCTTCAGCGGTCCGTGCACTTCCTGGGGACGGGGGAGGCGTGTTGGTTGATGACATCAGCTGCTGGTGTCATGACGCCTCACGACGACCCTTTGCTCTAACTGTCTGCTCTCTTTTCCTGCAGACGGCCACCGACAGCTCGTCCAACTCATCCCAGAAGAGAGAGCCGACGATGCACTCGCTGGCCCCGCCCCACTTCTGCGAGGCCCGTCGGCACCACTGCATCCTGGGACATTTCTATGAGCATCACCACAGGCCCTCGGAGCACTTCTTCCTGGACCAGGTGAGTCAGCGCCAGCAAAGAGAGGCCCACTAAACTTCATTCTCGTTGTTACCACATAATCATATATTAGATTTTTACCCCGATGCCCCGTTTTTCATTTCCTCTCTGTCGCTCGCTTGGACGGACGATGAACAAGGAAGGAGGCGACTCGCTCTCGTCAACCAGCAGAGCTCGTTAGCTTGTTTTACAAAGTGGACATAACGGTGTATTAAGTAAATCCACATCATGATTGAAATATTGACCTTTGACCTGTGTCAACGCAGGAGAAAAACTATTTTCAGGTCACCCAGAGTCGTTTATTGACGAGTGTTAAGATTTGTCATGCTAATTCTGTTAGCCAGTTAATTGCATTTTCCAGCATGCCTTAGCATCAAAATAACAAACTAAGATATACATCGCAGTCCATCTGTGAGGATTTGTCGGCCAGCCGATAATATCGTCCGATAGCAGAGTGACAAGCGGTGATGCACGTACACGCTCAGTTACTTTCCAGCTGAGTGACCAGCTTATCTTCATTATAAATACAATAAAATTGATTTATTGGTATCGCATTTTTCTCTTCCCAATAAATCCCAGGCCCCAGTTACGACCCACCCTAAGGGGACTCTGCAGGGCAAAAAAGACCAACCCATCAAAATCACGTAAAACACTTCAAACTATCAGATGAATTATTAGAAATACAGGAGTCATTAATCAGAGACACAATCAGAGAGGTGCTAAACTGCAGATCTAACTCAGAGAGGCCGCTCTCTGTATATGATATGTCTGAGGTTTTTAAGCATCAAGCTGCACCTGGTTTACCATCAAGTTTACCTGAAGAGCTACGGAGGGGGAGAAGGGACAAACAGAGCAGCAACACAAACAGCTGCAGCAGAAGGAAGAAAAGTTTCCCCTTTGAAATCCTCGACTGACAGAAACATGTTTTTACTATTTCATGATGGGTTTTTTTTTTATCTTTCACCCGCTTGAATCCGATAACCATAACGTTTTCATTACCCAGAAGGCTTTGCAAGTTAAAGCAGCTGTTCCCTCTTTTCTGCTGACCTCATGTCTCCTGAGATCAAAGTGTTTAAGTCTGTTTCCGTCTCCTCTGCAGGCGGTGCACATGTTCCCTCGTCACGTCAGCTTCCAGCTGGAAGAGGAGGAGATCGTTCGCATCAATCCTCGAGAGCGGACGTGGCTCACCGGCTACGAGGATTACCGCCATGCCAACTCCACGCGAGACAAACTCACGCAGCCCGACAACCTGGACGCTTATGTACACTTCGCCAAGAGCGAGCCGCCTAAACATGACTACACCTACCCGTACCCGCTCAGCTGTGACGTGCAGCGGGTCTGTGACGGTAAATCGGGCTGCCTGGAGCTGGGCGGCGGCCGCAGGGCGGTGGTGACGGTGCAGCCGCGAGCCCTGCAGCCCAAAGGGAAGAGGAGGAAGGAGGACGGTGAGCGCTCGCGAGCGCTACTTTACTGTCAGGACACGACCACAGGACGGGGCCGCTGCCAGGAAGCGCCCGACCCCATTCAGACCTGCATCAGAAGGGTCAGCTTCATGTGGTGCGCCGACAGCCTGCTGTATCACTGCATGTCGGACCCGGAGGGGGATTACTCGGACCCGTGCTCCTGTGACACCAGCGACGAGCGCTTCTGCCTACGCTGGACGGCGTTGGTGGGCCTCTCTCTGCTGGCGCCCTGCATGTGCTGCTACGCCCCCCTCAGGGCATGCTACCGCTGCGGGGTTGCCTGCCACTGCTGTGGCGGGAAACACAAAGCCGTGGGATAAGCCATCGCAGGCCCCGCCCCCTTTGCATAACAAAAAGTACTAATGGGAGGAGGCGGGGAGACGGAGACGCTGTGATTTATTCGTTGTTGTTGTTGTTCGTCTCGTCTCCGAGGTTTTCAAAGGAGGAGAATAAGAACTTTGTCTCAACAGATGTTGTTTTTATTTTTTTGTCTCTGTGACGTCGGGAAGCGAACGGATTTCAAATCGTGACAAAGACCGAACAAAGAATATTCATTTCTATATAGATGTCTATATAAATGAATATAAATATAAATATATGAACAGGTACTTTATATTTTTACACTCATGTGTTTTAAAAGCTCGAATGTGTCTTCTTTTCAGCATTCTGTCGTACGAATGTTTTAATGTTTGTTTGGAAGCCGCAGCTCACCGGCACGCTGCAAAAACATTTAACCTCCACGAGACATCCGAGAGCGTGCGAAATACTTTCATGACACCTCCAGCGAATTTACATAAAGTTAGGACAAAGAAATGAAGATGGATTTCATGTGTGTCAAGTAAAAGTGTGGATATAGTTAGCCTAGCTTAGCATAAAGAATGGAAGCAGATGGAAACAGATAGCAGTTAGCCTAGCTTAGCATAAATAATGAAAGCAGATGGAAACAGATAGCAGTTAGCCTAGCTTAGCATAAAGAATGGAAGCAGATGGAAACAGATAGCAGTTAGCCTAGCTTAGCATAAAGAATGGAAGCAGATCGAAACAGATAGCCTGGTTCTGTTTTAAAAGACTGTCACGCTGCAGGGGGGGCATGAACGTTGTGTGTCTGGGGTCTTTGGTACATCTCGTTTCAAGACATCGAGGGCGCACTCACACTAGGCCCAATTACCCCGTACCCCGTAGACTGCCTCCCCCCCGCCTTCCCATTCCCCCGCTGCCCTGCACTTACACAGCTCCAGGACTAACCCTCAGCACGGTTGTCGTCAGGCAACCCGTGGTTAAGAGCGTGTTCTTGTGGGTTTTAACCAGCTGATTGTGAATACTCGCGTCCGCCCAAATTTCGAGTAATTACTAAATTCTGTATCGGACCAACGTTGACGATTCGCTGCCGTTGTTTAAAATTATTGTCGAGAGGTGTGGTCCACGTTGGGATCTCGTGTGTGCTCGCTCATGAGCAGCCGTGCCGGAGTAAACCTCTTCCATCCGTTTCAGGACGTCCAGGAAGTGCACGGAGCACTCGCACCAGTCAAAACTTGACTTTGGGGGTCAAACGTGCTTGGTCATAGTGCGGACTGCCTAGTGTGTGTGCACCCTTAAATAAAATGTGTTTGCTGCATTGGCAGATATTTCTAGACCTAAACTTGAGGTGTTATTTTAATGTTTTTAAGATTTATTTTGGTGCTTTTTATTCACGACCCAAAGAAATGATTACAACATAAGCCCCACCTCTGACAAGGCAATAGCCAATCGTACTGAAGGATTCAGACTTGAAGTGTGGCCCTTCCCCCCCTTGGATCCACCCCTGATGTTGTAGTTAGATTTAATTCTGCACAGACAGGAATGATAAAGCAACAATTTGTTTTTGACGGTTATGCTAACATGTGTAGCTAGCTAGCTACTGTGTACATTTAAACCTTTGGAGAGCGTCAGGCTAGCTGTTCCCCTATATGTCTAGTTTTTATGCTAAGCTAGGCTAACTCAGTCCATACTTAATGATCGTTAACGAGCCGTAACTATCATCATATAAAACTCCGATCATGAAGGATAATTATTTGTTCCCCCTCTCTTAGTTTTTCTAAATGTTATCTTTTATTTTTAATTCCCACATTTCTTTTTGCAGTGTGGCGGTGCAGCTGTGGTTTCCTGGCGTCCAGCAGAGGCACTTCACTGGTCTGAAAGCTGCTTTCTAAAGTCTGTCTAACAAACCGGACGGATACACCAGTTTGGCTGACCAGTAATACGGCTAGTCCCAGCTCTGATAAGTCCAGAAACACACAAAATCAAGAATTTGCAAATCTGCGTTTCATCTTGTCGAATTTAAATTGCAAATTTTGTGCAGATCAATCGCCAACATTTGTAGTTAAAAAAAAAAAAACTTTCATCTCCTGCTGTCCTGTAAACTGGTCCACTGGTCTGTCTGTACTGGTTTGTTGTTCTGTAGGTTTGTTTGATGAAAGGAACAAAATATATCAGGAAGGAGAACGCTAATATAAATAACTGATTCTTAAGATTCAGATTCTTAAGTTTAATCCTCTAATAGTCCTCATGATGAACAGACAGAAACCTGGATCAGAACCATACTCATGATGAACAGACAGAAACCTCGAACAGAACCAGACTCATGATGAACAGAGAGAACCTGGAGCAGAACCAGACTCATGATGAAACAGACAGAGACAGAACCAGACTCATGATGAACAGAGAGAACCAGACTCATGATGAACAGACAGAAACCTGGAACAGAACCAGACTCATGATGAACAGGCAGAAACCTGGAGCAGAACCAGACTCATGATGAACAGGCAGAAACCTGGACAGAACCAGACTCATGTTGAACAGACAGAAACCTGGCAGAACCAGACTCATGATGAACAGGCAGAAACCTCGACAGAACAGACTCATGATGAACAGGCAGAAACCTCAAACAGAACCAGACTCATGATGAACAGGCAGAAACCTGGAGCAGAACCATACTCATGATGAACAGGCAGAAACCTGGAGCAGAACCATACTCATGATGAACAGACAGAAACCTGGAACAGAACCAGACTCATGTTGAACAGGCAGAAACCTTGAACAGAACCAGACTCATGATGAACAGGCAGAAACCTGGAGCAGAACCATACTCATGATGAACAGGCAGAAATCTGGATCAGAACCAGACTCATGTTGAAAGGCAGAAACCTGGAGCAGAACCAGACTCATGTTGAAACAGAAACCTGGAACAGAACCATACTCATGATGAACAGACAGAAACCTGGAACAGAACCAGACTCTTGATGAACAGACAGAAACCTGGAACAGAACCAGACTCATGTAGAACAGGCAGAAACCTAGATCAGAACCAGACTCATGATGAACAGACAGAAACCTGGAGCAGAACCAGACTCATGGTGAACAGGCAGAAACCTCGAACAGAACCAGACTCATGATGAACAGGCAGAAACCTGGAACAGAACCAGACTCATGATGAACAGACAGAAACCTGGAGCAGAACCAGACTCATGATGAACAGGCAGAAACCTGAAGAGAACCAGACTCATGATGAACAGGCAGAAACCTGGAGCAGAACCAGACTCATGATGAACAGTAGAAACCTGGAGCAGAACCAGACTCATGATGAACAGACAGAAACCTGAACAGAACCAGACTCATGATGAACAGGCAGAAACCTCGACAGAACCAGACTCATGATGAACAGACAGAAACCTGGAGCAGAACCAGACTCATGATGAACAGGCAGAAACCTCGAACAGAACCAGACTCATGATGAACAGGCAGAAACCTGGAGCAGAACCAGACTCATGATGAACAGACAGAAACCTGGAACAGAACCAGACTCTTGATGAACAGGCAGAAACCTCGAACAGAACCAGACTCATGATGAACAGGCAGAAACCTGGAGCAGAACCAGACTCATGATGAACAGACAGAAACCTGGAACAGAACCAGACTCATGATGAACAGGCAGAAACCTGGAACAGAACCAGACTCATGATGAACAGGCAGAAACCTGGAGCAGAACCATACTCATGATGAACAGACAGAAACCTGGAACAGAACCAGACTCATGATGAACAGACAGAAACCTGGAACAGAACCAGACTCATGATGAACAGACAGAAACCTGGAACAGAACCAGACTCATGATGAACAGGCAGAAACCTGGAACAGAACCAGACTCATGATGAACAGACAGAAACCTGGAACAGAACCAGACTCTTGATGAACAGACAGAAACCTGGAACAGAACCAGACTCATGATGAACAGACAGAAACCTGGAGCAGAACCAGACTCATGATGAACAGGCAGGAACCTCGTACAGAACCAGACTCATGATGAACAGACAGAAACCTGGATCAGAACCAGACTCATGTTGAACAGACTGAAACCTGGAGCAGAACCAGACTCATGATGAACAGGCAGAAACCTGGAGTAGAACCAGACTCATGATGAACAGACAGAAACCTGGATCAGAATCAGACTCATGTTGAACAGGCAGAAACCTCAAACAGAACCAGACTCATGATGAACAGGCAGAAACCTGGAGCAGAACCATACTCATGATGAAGAGACAGAAACCTGGATCAGAACCATACCATGATGAACAGGCAGAACCTCGAACAGAACCAGACTCATGTAGAACAGGCAGAAACATGGATCAGAACCAGACTCATGATGAACAGGCATAAACCTCGAACAGAACCAGACTCATGTAGAACAGACAGAAACCTGGAGCAGAACCAGACTTATGATGAACAGGCAGAAACCTCGACAGAACCAGACTCATGATGAACAGGCAGAAACCTCGAACAGAACCAGACTCATGATGAACAGACAGAAACCTGGAGCAGAACCAGACTCATGATGAACAGACAGAAACCTGGATCAGAACCAGACTCATGATGAACAGACAGAAACCTGGAGCAGAACCATACTCATGATGAACAGACAGAAACCTGGATCAGAACCAGACTCATGATGAACAGACAGAAACCTCGACAGAACCAGACTCATGATGAACAGGCAGAAACCTGGAGCAGAACCAGACTCATGATGAACAGACAGAAACCTGGAGCAGAACCATACTCATGATGAACAGACAGAAACCTGGATCAGAACCAGACTCATGATGAACAGACAGAAACCTGGAGCAGAACCATACTCATGATGAACAGACAGAAACCTGGATCAGAACCAGACTCATGATGAACAGACAGAAACCTCGAACAGAACCAGACTCATGATGAACAGGCAGAAACCTGGATATATATATATATATATATATATATATATATATATATATATATAAATGTATATGTATCAGGTGTATTATGTACATTTTCAGTTCTATTTTTTTATTGTTTCTTATATGATGGATGTAAATCTCAAAAAGACGAGGAGACGTGTATAAAGACAAATACATCATCCGGAAACTAAAAGTGTGTGTGTCATCAAATCCATTCATATGAAGAGCAGGTTTGATGTGTACCTGCGTTAAAGGTCAATCAGTGAGATGTGTGAAATGATGAAGGTACCTTACTATATGATGACAACAATCCAGCAGCCAGTATGTCCTCCTAACTTTAGATTCTGCTCCTGAATACTAGATGTGTGAAATGATGAAGGTACCTTACTATATGATGACAACAATCCAGCAGCCAGTATGTCCTCCTAACTTTAGATTCTGCTCCTGAATACTCTGGATTTGTTTGGACCAGAGAAGGTAGGTGGTTTAAAGGCGACCCCACACGTTTTGGACGTTCCTCGCTTTACCAGATATGAGAGCAGTTATCAGGTCGATTGTGACCCGACCTAAAAAGCCTCTGCATGTTTCTAATAAGCTCCACGAGCAGAAACGTGCTCAAACTAGGATCAATATTGGAGATGCTTTTGAAAAATGGAGAGAGGTTAGAACACAGAAAGGTTTACAGACCCATGCAGAGCTGGATAAACACTGAAGCTACAGTGGATACAATCTGAGATTGGTCACGGGTCCAATTTGATGGATAACCCTACTTTAATTTCAGGGGAAAATAACAAATTTGGTGTCATGAATGAACCTTTTTTCCGGGCTTTTTTCGGCCACATTGTTTTATTTATTGTCTCTAAAACATAAGATATTTTTAACACAGAGCCAAAACAGAAAACAAAAAGAGTCAGAAAAGATTAATTCCACAAAAAAACAAACAATCTAGATTAACGTCTGCAACATTTTCATCATTCTCCTCACTGCACGCTGATGATGATGATGATGATGGCCCGCTGGATGAAGACCCCGCCCGGCTCCCTCTCCGTGTTTACTTCATGTTTGAAACACTACAGGACACGACTCAGGATGTTATTGTGCTTGTTTAACAACAGAAACAGAGAGCGAGAGAGAGGCTACATCCTGTGACAGCTGGAGGGAGAGACTGTTACCCACAATGCCTCTGGACAAACAGAGGACCTGGAGTGTGTTATATGCATGTGTGTGTGGAGCAGTGTTGTTATTGTGTGCTACAGCTGTTTGATTGTTTGTGATCTAAATATCCCGTTGTCCTGAGTAACAAACGTTTTGGGCAAGAAATGACGGCAGTTCCTTAAAATCTGAGGTCTGAAGTCAAGGTCCTTTTTCTGTTTGAGTTCCTGTGGTTTAATAACTGAGATGACTGATTGACACACGACAACACAGCTGATAAAAATATCACACGATCAACGTCTTCAGCTGCAGATATAACTCTGAAGCAGACGCCACAGGTCAGAGGTTAAACCCTGATAAACACAGACATCCCAATCGACATGAAGAAGGCTTAAAAATGAACCTTGCAAATTCAGAAACCATGTCCCTGTGTGTGTGTGTGTGTGTGTGTGTGTGTGTGTTGTGTGTTGTGTGTGTGTCGTCCCAGGGTGTGAGGAATCCAGCGGGCCGGGTCGCCGGTCTGGGCCTGATTTAGCGAGGCCCCAGCGAGTCTGCCTGCCTCACTTTGTTTACTGGGATGAAATCTGAAACAAATGTGACCATGATAGACCACCAACACATAAACCCCTCCCATCACATCCAGAGTGTGTCTGTGTGTGTGTGTGTGTGTGTGTGTGTGTTCTGCAGCTTTTACTGATCTGACGCACTTGATGTTTTAAAACTTCAACTTAAGCCTCAAAATGATTTTATTCAGAACGGCAGATATTATTACTGGATTTGTTTGGACCAGAGAAGGTAGGAGGTTTTAAGGCGACCCCCCCCCACACACACACACGGCCGTTTTGGACGCCCCTCGGTTCCCAGATATGAGAGCAGTTATCAGGTCAACAAGTGTTGCAGCGATGGAAGCGGCAAGAGAAGTGGTTCAGATAGAAGTGATTGTACCCGACCTAAAAAGCCTCTGCATGTTTCTAATAAGCTCCACGAGCAGAAACGTGCTCAAACTAGGATCAATATTGGAGATGCTTTTGAAAAATGGAGAGAGGTTAGAACACAGAAAGGTTTACAGACCCATGCAGAGCTGGATAAACACTGAAGCTTCAGAGTCCACCACATGGT